GTAACTGTACTTTACCCTTTGTTTTATTATAAGAAATAAAAGTGTTCTAAACACTTAAAACTTTCTTCGAAAGAAGAAATAGGATGAATATTAAGAGATATGATGTCTAATTAGTTGAAAGCTTATGTCTGTGTACCACAACTCTTAGCATTTTTCCAATAAATGTATTGTTAAGAACATTAGATATTAGTTTCTTTTCTTTTTTTTTTTGGTGAGTAAAACATTAGATATTAGTTTGTAGAATGGTTTACGTTTTTCGCTTGCAATGACGAGCGATGGAAAGGTAGTGGCGGTCACCTTAGGTGTACTGAAATTGGCTGAGCGGAGTTTCGGGGAGCGGTATAGAGGTTTTTGGACTAATGATTGTGAGTTGGAGATGCTATCTCAACAGGAGGATTCATGATCTTCATAAAATAGAAGGCGATGTGAGGTAGAATGTGGAATGTGGTTTTAGAAGAGGAGATGGTAAAAGATGTGGATTCTATTTTGGGTGTTACGAAGGGGGAAATTGTGGTGATCGGTGGTTGGTTGGCTTTGTTCATTTGGGCTTGGTTTCTAATAGTAAGTGTTATAAATTATTTGACTAGTATGTGTTATTTAATGAAGACTATTTTATTCATGAGTTCACTATCTTTTATAAAGTGAAGATTTGAGTTAGGAGAATTACTCATATACATGAAGATAAAGACTTTTTAGCTGAAAATGAGGGAATTTAGGTCAGTGTCTCAACACATTTGACCACCTCTTTTTTTTTTTTTTTTTTTTTTTTTTTTTCTATAAACTTTTTTTCCTACATAACGTTGGATTGTAAAATATGAAGGATTAGTACTGAGATTTGGGAATTTTGGACCCATACTTATAATTTGTTGTGCTATTCAAGTGAGTCTAGGCTTTAGCATGTCCTATTTAAATCAGGACAAGAATGTGGAATGGATCGATTCTTGGATTGAAATACTATACCACGCCTTATGGTTTGTGATAATATCTGAACATTTATCATTTTAAATTTGTATAATTGCAAATATGTTATCATTTTTAAAAATATCTTCTAAATCCAATTTATATACATATAGAATGCCACTGTCGTTGTTGTCTCCATATAAACAATGGTAGTGTGATCATGCCTTTATTGTGTTGTATTTCTCTCTGGTAGGGACTGCTATGTCATAACTCTCTCATGCCCTGTTGTTTGGGATCTAGATGATTGACTTGAAGAAAGAAAAAAAAAAAAAAAAAAAAAAGGACGATTTTCAGTTGTGTTCCAATATTGGCCGAAGCAGTTGGATAAAGAAGGCCATCCCTAGTAGAAGTGGTAGAATTATTCCTAGTATTTCAACCAACCCAGAGAGATAGTGTTACATTATTACAGTGAATGAGTGACCTAAACGCGATTTGATTCAATAACATCGGATTAGGTTATTGAAAACGATATTAAAAAGTCAAATACAGTATAGATGAAATGGCTTGTAATAGAAAAGTTTGGAACGAGAGAATTCATGTGGTCGACCCCATTCATATGGGCTTAAGGTAAGGATGGTGATGATGAATCACGTGAAGTGCTGAATACTTGAGGAGGAGTGTACCAAAGCTTTAAACATTTATGTTGATTCAGTGACAATTATTACTTTTGATTCGTTTCTTAAATTTTAATCATTATGTTTATTTAGTTATTCTTTTGGATTATAATGGTTGTTTATTTATGCCTTTTGTGTTTTTTGTGCACTTTCTCATACTCAAGTAGTTCTATAAAATGGAATTCTAGGTATGTTGATAACTAACAAAAATGTTTAGGTCAGTTATATTGACTTATGTTCTTCAGAGTAGAATTAGTTGTTTTAGACAACGTAGACAAAAAGAAACATAACGAGGGAGTTTAATTTACAAATTTTTGTTATTGATATACTTGTTTAATGCATCTCTAACCACAAGTGTTGGACTAGTGTCCCATATTTCCATGTTGGATTATTGTGTCTGATCTTCATGCATTTTTTGTGAATCTCACATACATATTTTTGGGTGTTATTTGCAGGCAATTGAAGATGTATTCAAGTAGTAGTGTGAGGTGGTATTTATTTCCATTTGGATGAAGGGGCTGGAAACTTCATAATTGTGGCTATAGAACATTGGATACTTGTTATATATATATATACACACACTAAGGTGGTTTGTGAGCTTCCTAAAAAGTAAAAGCTATGTGTTGACAATTATTAATGGTACTCATGTCTCCCTAATGCATATTACTTGGAAATTTTTTTGTTTTTATTTTTTATAACAATATGGCTAGAAGTTATGGGTGCATGTAATTGAATATGATCAATTGCTGAACATGAAGTGAATTCACAGCTTGGTTCTTGCTTTTGTGCCTAATATATGAACATTTATCATTTTAAATTTGTATAATTGCAACTATATTATTATTTTTAAAAAAATCTTCTAAATCCAATTTATATACATACAGAATGTCATTGTCCTTGTTGTCTCGATATAAGCAATTGTAGTGTGACCATGCCTTTATTGCGTTGTATTTTTATCTGGTAGATGATTGACTGAAATGAAAAAAAAAAAAAAAAGGACTACGATTTTCAGTTGTGTTCCAATATTGGCTGAAGCAGTTGGATAGAAAAGGCCATCCATAGTAGAAGTGGTAGAAGTATTCCTGGTATTTCAACTAACGCAGAGAGACGGTGTTACATTATTACAGTGAACGTGACCTAAATGCATTTGCTTCTGATTGTGTGATTTTTTTTTCCAGCTAGGGTAAGTTTGGCCTTCATCCAGGTGCGGAGCTAGGATTTTTTTCAATCCAGAGGGGCACAGTTTTTTTTTTTTTTTTTTTTTTTTTTTTTTTTTGAAAAAAAAATTCAACTATATTCTTGAAGAAATTGAGAACCTTTGCCCAAGATACTGATATATCACACTACCACATAGTCATTATAGCATGTCACCTTATGTATATTCTCTTATGTCTCAAAAATGAAATAAGAACAACATCTTCATGTACTGGAAATGAGAATGTTAAGATAGATTAGTGGAGTGACCATAGTTGTTAAAGGCGCGCCTAGGCTCCAAAAAAGCCCCAGGCTCGTCAAGGCTCAGCTAGAGCGCCTCAACCTATTACAGGCAAGGCCCCTTCAATCAGGCTCACATAAAGCCCTCAGGTTCACGCTTTTTAGTAGGCACCAGGCTAAAAAAAGGGGCGCCTTGTATTTTTTAATCATTTATTCATATCATTTTCTTTTTTACTTATTGACTACTAAATTAAAAGGTTCTATATCATATACTGTATTGTTTAACCTTATGAAATATTTGACAAAATTCATAAATTTATGTTCACTACTTACATTAACTGCAATTACAGCTTGATTATGAATATATATATAATAATATATGCATTATTATATACACACACCTTACTTCGATCAGGCTCACGCCTTATATTGCACCTTGCGCTTAGGCTCCAGGAGGCCTTTGGCGCCTTAGTGCTCCTTAAGCCTTTAACAACTATGGGAGTGACTGGAAGAGATGGAGTTATTAAGGAAAGTGAGAAAAAATAGGTGTAGCACCCATTAGTGAGGAAATCTAAGAAAAGAGACTTAGATGGTTCGGACACATACATTGGAGACCTAGAAATGCGTTGGTCAAACGAGGAAGACTGGTGATAGTAGAAGGTAAGAGATTGAGAGGGGGAGCAAAAATAACATCGGATGAGGTTATTGAAAATGATATCAAAAGGTTAAATACATTATTGATGAAATGTCTTGTAATAGAAAAGTTTGGAGCGATTTTCTCTCTCTTAATGATCGAATTAAGCCCGTGCATCTTTCTTAGAGCACATCTATTCTATTTGAGTTTCGCACTTCCTGCTATTCATGTGGTCGACCCCATTCGTATGTGATTTAAGTAAGGATGATGATAATGAATTATGTGAAGTGCTGGAGTGTAGCAACACTTTACACATTTACGTTGATTCAGTGAGAATAATTACTTTTGATTTGTCTCTTATAATTTTGTGTATTTAGTAATTCTTTTGGATAATAGTGGTTGTTTCATACTCAAGGAATCCTATAAAATGGAATTCTAGGTATGTTGATAACCAACAAAAATGTTCTGGATTTCCATCTTGACAAAGTTATTAAAGTTCATACCAAGGGTTAAACAATCCAATTAAGTTTATGGGTCTAACAATTTCGTTATATGCCACTATCTTGGATGGACTCGGCCCATGTATCAAACGTGGTACGTAACTTGAGTGTAGGATATCGAATCTTACAACTTAAGAAAACTGCAATAACGCTAAAAATTCACACATATTGAATTATCTTTTTTAGAGTTGAATCAGGACAACCTAAGAAACTGCAACGATATTCATAATATGCAATGATGAATAGTTATGATTTATGAACACCGCTTTGCATCCACACGAATTTAGGGATCAGGATGGTTCGAGAAATTCAAAAACAGTTGAAGTTCCACTTTTACTCATAACAATTGAATTTCCTTCAATTTGTGTTGTTAAACAAGATTTGGAGGAAATTGAAGACAAAGCGTGGAAGGAAAAATATATACAAAAGAATAGCTAGTGCAAGGCATCCACGTGGCAATACCAGTCATAACATGGACAAGTCATCCGAGATTTGAATAAAGTCGAAAGGAGGAAAGATCAAAGGAGACGTTAAAGAAATCTCGACAATCAATCCTCCTCAAACTGTGAAGCCGTTACATAGCAAATCACGGAGTACAAAATACTTGTATAAAGAGCTCTTAATTAGAGGCATCAAACATTGAATTTACCCCATGTTTCTAAAATCGCAAAACCCAACCCAATTTATGTACGGCCCGCGCAGAGGAGCCGAGAAGGAGGGTTCTCTTTAATTACCCATGTTTCTAAAAGAGCAAAACCCAACCCAATTATATGTACGGCCCACGCAGAGGAGCCCAGAAGGAGAATATATATATAGAGAGAGAGGATCCATATCCATATTACAAGTATATCTCATTCTCATCTAATCGTAAGGTTAGGGTTTTTTCTATTGTGCAATCGTATGGCTTCTTCCGTCTCCCATGTCACTTCTGAACAACCACAAAAGTCTTATGGACAACCAGGAAAGGGGCTGAACATTCGTGACGTGTTGACCGATGAACAGATAGCCTTGTACCGTGAAGCGGTTCTCGTAAGAGTGTGTCTCTTCTCCTCAACCCCATTGTTATATTTAAACATAACATAGTGTCTATATATATCTATATAGTGCTAATTAATTTAATATGGTGTTTTTATTATAGGGGTTTGATTTTCCAAAATTTCAACTCCACAAGAGTTCAGATTCGGTCATTGGTTATTGTCGTTCATCAATTCAGGAGTACAATAAAATGAATGTATGCAAGTTTTTTTCTTTCTTTTAATTAATATATGTTAAATTCACATTACCCTTCTTTTCATGTTGGAAAATTTCTTTGGTACTAGGGGACAAATTACAAGTTTGTGAGAACTATTGGGGCAAACGTTAAGGGTGTTAATTTCATCTTGTGCCTTGCTTTTGAGGCCAAGGATAAGGATGATGCTGATGGTCAGTCTACTTTTTTTTCTGCTAATGTGTTCGAGGGAAACCGACCAATCAACGTGATGAAGACTCATGAGGTAAAATTAATTTATTAGTTACATAGCAGTTTTGAGATTTAATTATCTCAGGAAAATAAATAAATAAATAAATAGAAGAAGAAGAAGAAGTTTGTGGGTCTAACAGTTTCGCTATATGCCCCTATCTTAGGTGGACTCAGTACTTGTATCAGATGTTGTATGTGACTTAGAGTGTAAGATATCCAGTCTTCCAACTTAAGAAAACTGCAATAAGGCTAAAAATTCACCCATATTGAATTATCTTCTTCATTGTAGAATCAGGACAAAATGAAGTTTTTGTTATTGATATACTTGTGTTGGACAAATGTCTCATATTTCCATGTTGGATTATCGTGTCTGATCTTCATGTATTTTTGTGAATCTCACATACATATATTTTTGGGTGTTATTCACAGTATTATTCGGAAGCGATGCTTGAAGATATATACAAGTAGTAGTGCGAGGTGGTATTTATTTCCGCTTGGATGAAGGGGCGGTAAACTTCATAATTGTGGATTTAGAACATTGGATACTTGTTTGGCCATGTACCAGAGGTGGTTTGTAAATTTACTGAAAACTATGTGTTGACAACGAATAATGGTACTTATGTCTCCCTTGTGAGATTATGCATATTACTTGGAATTTGTATTTTTTTTGTAACAATGTGGCAGAAGTTACGGGTGCATGTAAATTGAATATGATCAAGTGCTGGACATTAAGTGAATTCACAGCTTGGTTCTTGTGCTTTTGTGCCTGAAATCTTTGGAGATTCACAGCAATTGGTAATTCTTCTGACCAACTTAACAAAGTCAATCAAACCTAATTTTCTTGATATATATTCACACAAGATTGTGACTTTGTAAGAAAATAATAATAATAATAAAATTGTTTGATTTGAGCCCTATCAGGATATGTTTTGAAAGAATAATTAACATAATTAGTAGTAAAGACCTTCATTCAGTTTATTCCACTGCCAGTGTTTATGACCTTCATTCAGTTTATTAGACACAAGCAATCATTGGAAGATGACTTTATTTATTTTATTCTTTTTGGGTAATATGATCCTTGTTGATATACGTGCCACGATGTTTGCTTGAGTGACACCATCTCTGAAAATAAGCACACCTAGCCAGTACTTATCTGGCATTCCTGAAAGGACAGTATCCTCGAGCTACTCGTCCTATAACTGAATTACTGGCTGAGAAAGGGGTCGCTACCCTTCCTCTTCTGTGGACGTGCCCCGCTCCAGTCGGATGGGCCCCTCCTTCCCTTTTTTCCGAGGTTGCTTCCTGCAGGCGTAACCTCAGGCATTTTTCTTTCGAGCTCCCTTTAACTGTAAGGACCTCGAGACACAGAGTTAGGATAGAGTCCGCGGGGCCGAGAAGGCAGAACCCCGAGGAAGGCTCTTTCCCTATCTTCAGTTGCGGGAATCTGAGTATCAGTGGTTAGGTGGCTGAGTTCTAAGGAATCACCTCACTTCGAGGTCTGCACAAGGGGGAGAGAATGTTTAACACCCAATAGCTGAGCTCGAGTAATAAAGACCACATAATACATTAAATATATATCTCATAGAATGACCATTGGATAGAGAGGAAGTTAGCTCTCATAACCAAGGGTCCTTACCTAAGTAAAACGACCATTGGATAAAGAGAAATTAGCTCTCATGACCAATGATCCTTACCCAAATGAAGTAGTATAATAGGGTTTAACCTTCACCATTTAAGAGGGCTGAAAATATATATACACCACCCTAACTATAACCATAAGTAATGGTCTCCTAGGACTTGCGCTACCATGGGTGTTAAGCAAATCTGTCTTCTCTCTCTTAATCTCCTCTATGGAGAATCCCTTGTTCTAGCTTGGAGCTCCACTCAGTCTTTGATCTCAGCATCCCCGACAGATGTGGAATGATCTCTTTATCCTATTCACGTACTACCATCAACATTTTGGCGACTCTGCTGGGGAGGAGCATTCCATTAATGTTGAGTTTGCAAGAGAATCTACTACTTCAAAACGGTGATTTCGTTCCCAACTCAATTTCTTATTGCTTGCTCTAGTTTCAAACTGACATGTTCATCTTTAGATTTTTGTCTTATCTCTGTTGATAGAGCATGCCATGTTATTTAGTCATGAATCTTATACTCTGTCTATCTGAAAATCATTATCTTCTTCTCTATTTTTGGTCGATCCCTCGTGGGTCTCATGTGTGCTAGTTCAGAAAAAAAAAATGGTCAATTCTCTCAAGGCAGCATCTCTTCCCTTCAAAGCATGACACCTCAAGCAACCCACTACCCTTAGTCCGGCCTCGACTTAAAACGGGTTTTGACACCTCGAGGGCCCCAGTATATATACCAATGTTCCTTTACCCATAATGATGATAAAGAAAGGTTATACCTAATCTCTTCACATATAGAAAAATAGAATGCGTATATATATATCTCTATTGTTCATATATATATATATATATATATATATATATACTGTATATTTTATTTGATTAATCTTTTCATACACATTTTTTTGATAAAAGATGTATGACACCTGCCACCACCTACTTTGTAACTTTTCACTAGTCTGTCCACTCACCATGGTATTAAAAACAAAGAGGGGAAATCAATAAATCACTACACACATTTGACAGCCCATTCAAGTGTAAAGAGTTCCACAAGAATATCATTTGTCACTCACCCTGCTAACTTTTATCCGGTGGCTATTTAAATTGTCCTGCAGCACAAAACCTTATAGGTCTTTATTCATGTAAAGACTCACTCATTTGAGGTCATCGAAGTCCCATTTTCATCTCTCTAATTATAATAAGTATTTTCTCCTATTATTTTAATTGTTACATTACATTACCCATCTGTAACTTCTTTCTTGCACATGTATTAGACATACCTCTGACACATGTTAGACACTTTCTACATTGTAGCTTGTACTACCTTGTTGGTCTACCCATTACCCTATGCACACAGTTTTGCATGTGCTAAAATGACAATTGCTACTTTGGCCAAGTCACGCCATGAACTGACCAAGACAAGCTATTACACCGTATAGTATAAACCTCAGCTTTGCTTCAAAGCTTATGTAATTATAGCCAACTACAACTCCATAAAGCTACAGCAAAAATAATTAAAGAAAAATTAAAACTAATAGTAGGAGTGAAAATTAAATGTCTTTCTTTTATCATTGTTGCATAAGCTTTGGTTGGTTGATAAATCACTTATTTTAACTTTCATTATTTATACACTTGACTTTGCTTGTTTTCAATTTAAACATTCTGTTATTTTTAAGTCTAATTAGCTCCTTGAACTGAATTCATTGTTACTAGTAAAATATATAAATACAAGTAAATATAAAAGAGTAAACCTGACTCTATATCTTGCATATGTAGCACAACAGTTGTACGTGCCAGTTTTTGGAAAAGTTAATGTTGAACCCATAAAAAGACAATTCTTAATTTATTTATTTATTTTTGTGTCATCTTCCCATCAAATCCTCTTTCTCTTTACTGTTTTTACAGTACCATCAATTTTGTCAGCTATTATTATATTATTGAGTTGTCACACATCTTCTCACAACTTTTTCACTGACATTGTTTAGTCTGAGACTTCATCTTTAAGTCTACCAAAGTGCGATAATATATATATATATATATATATATATATATATTATCCCATTTAAATAATAACTATAACTCAAGTGCTCGCTCTAATACTCGAGCAACTTTTCAGATCAGTGTCCCTCGCAGCTCAAAGTAGCAGTTTTACACGATAGCTCGAGTCTGCTTCGGGCTAGCATTTTGTCATGGCTTAAACACGTCCCGCGCGCCAGACCAGCCCATTCCTTTGTTACGTCCTCGACATAACCAAGTTTTGTTATGCTAAAGTGGGATTGTGTATTTTATTGATAAATATTTTTATCATATATATGTATCTCCCTTTGATGCTTGAGCAAGGCTCTGGGTCCTCTGTAGCTCGAGCATTATTTCGAGGCTGCTACTTGAGATTCACTTTGGTCAGCACTTCCTCACAGTTTGAAACCTTTGAACACATGCTAACAAGCAAAATAAATAAATCGATAATAGTAGTGATGTTTTACAAAATAATCTTGCTAATGATGACAGTAGCTTCGAGGACTCTTCCTCAATTTATTTATTTATTTATGCTTGATTTATAGTTTCGATTTCATACTTTTTGGTCCATGGCTTGGCTTTATGTAAGATCAAGTGACCAAGAAGCGCCTCTAAACCTCAAAATCTGACCACGAGCAACCTTCACGATAGGGAATCTCGAACCTATTTCTCACTCTTAACTACCACTCGCGCCCAAGCGTTCCTCGTGCTATGCTCTTCCCTATTCTCACGTAGGTCCTCGTGCGATCTCAATCTCTCTTCGAGCACTATTTCGACCTTGCTTCTCTTGCTGCTCGAGTTCCTTTTTTAGCCAACGCTCGCCCAGCAGATTGAGCACAATGCCAACAACAGTTTGAACAAAAATATAGTAGTAACGATGTTTTACACAAAAATAACCTGGTCATTAATTCGAGGACTAGCTCTTTTAGTCTTTCTCACTTTTATCTTTCTTTTCCGCTGAATTTATAACTTTAGTTTCTTTCCCTCCTGGTTCCTTGCTTGGCTCTATGAAACATGATCAAGAAACCCATTTGAACCAACAAAGCAACTTTGTTTTTTTATTTTTATTTTTCTTGCTTGTGTTACAAATAATAGCGAACCTCGCCAAACTCTAACTGTCACCTCGACCACCCTTCAGAAAGTGAGATATTGCACCTCACATCCAACTAAACTCTAGCCTAGAACTTGGCACGTCTTCGAGCACTCGACACGCACCGTCGATTCCCTTTGAACTCAACATTGGTATCTCTTCGAACACTCAAAGAACTCTGGTCAAACTCTTTCAAACACAAACTTCGTACCTCTTCGTACCATCAAACATCACCTATTAGTAACTTCTCTTTTGCACATAAATTACACCATCTTGTCTGTTTCTAGGGTTTATACTTCTGTTAATCTCCAAAGCCTTCAAGTTTGAGTCATTTATTTATTATTATTGTTTTTTTTTTATTTTTTTTTTTTATTGATTTGTGAAATCAAAGTATTAATCTTTTCTATTTCTGAGTATTTTGAAATCTATGATTTTAGTGAAATCCAGCGATTTTCTAGGTTCTCTGTGAAATCTGTGAAAATAGTATAAATTCCTTACAATATCTGATTTTCATAGGTTTGTTGACGTGGGTTGGATCTATTGTAGAGCGAGTTCAATTCCCCTACAGATGTAGTTGTTCTTCGACTTTCCCCATTTCCAGAGCATTTGTAACTCCCCAACTCTCTTTCACACGCACACAATGACTCTCGTAGTCCAACTCCTTTGGATCTCGAGTTTATTACCTCTTTGAATCCTCGAAGAGCACCGCCCGAGTCCTTCCGAACTCGAGCCTGAAGCCTTGATACTTCCCTAACAGGAGCACCATCCTCTTATCTCTCTATCGAACAAGATTTATGTCAATGTATTATTTCATAAATCATACTTCTAAGTACTACTGGAACTCATGCTTTCACCGGTTAACCCCTAGAACCGTTGATTTCTCAAGAATTCTACAACCTCCTCGAGGTC